CATCATGTGGAGATTAGCCTCTCTCTCCTGCAGGGAGCAGTTTTTATCACTGCTCTCGTCGTGTCGCTCGTATTCCAAAACAAAATCTGCTCTCTTCCTTTCTTCTGTCCATCAATCCCAGAGATAATCCACAGGCAACATTCTGCTGATGTAAAAAGCGTGCTGTCCTCGCTTATGCCCGCTAGAACCACCGGAGTGAGAGGAGGTTCTGCTCGGTTGGAATGGAGACACTTTYGGACCAAGCCGAACCGCAAAGCTGCTGCCAGGGTGGAGAGTAGTTGTCGCTCCGGTTTAAAACGTTCACGGTTCTGTGCCCTCTCGGAAAACTTGTGCGTGACAACTTTGCACTTAGCTTCAACTCTGTTTCTGATGAAAATAGAAAGTTTTGCCGACATTCTTGCTAACTTGTTAGCGCAGCATGTTGTTGTGATCACGTGAGCBCTRCATGCTGGATCCAAGCGCTGCTGGATAGAAACACTGGAGCGGAGTCAGTGAACTGCTGGAACAGACTGCTAATATCGGAGCGCTTATATCGGATATTGTTTATGCAGGCCGATAAAATCCGATACTCGTTTTTTGGCTGATGTCGGACAGATATCTGATATCAATATCGGATCGGGACACCCCTAGTAATTAATTGTTTTAATGATTTGGCCGATTTARTTGAAAAAGTAATTGACAGATTAGTCGATTATTAAAATAGTTGTTAGTCGCAGCCCTAGAGGACACTAAAGGACATTCCTAAAGGACACTTTAACTTTTACCAAAGTAATTTTTTGATAAGATACTTCTACTCAGTGGTGGGCACAGTTCCCCTAAAGCACTAATAGGGGAACTAATTTCCTGATTAGTGCTTTAGGGCTTCTGCTAATTTTCAATTTTATTAGTGGATTAGCACTTGCTAAATTTAGAAGCACTAACTGAGGTCTATAAATGTTATTGATCAAGGTTAATGTTAACAGCTGAGGGTGAAAGCTGTCACACATTTTGTTCATGTGTGTCACTKATCCACCAGGTGACAATATATGAACTCAAATACAGCTGTGGAATGTCAGTGATAAGTCTTAAAAGAGCAACATTTTAATATGTGACTCATGTTGTCTGTTGAAGAATGTTCATGGGTTGACTGGGTTATTTTAGTGCTTTAGAATTAGCTTTTGCTAAATTCTTCRATGTGTTAGTGATTTAGACTTAGGGGACCTAAATATTTGAGTTAGTGTTTTAGGGCTAGTGGAACTCATTTTTAGATTAGTGCTGCCCACCACTGCTTGTACTATTACTCAAGTATCACACTGTGGTACTTTATACAACATTGTTTTTTGATTATGTGCTTAAAACATTTGTTTTTTTCTCTTCAGAACCAGCCCACACAGGTTACTCTGATCACAACTCCCAGTGGTGTAGAAGCCCAACCAGTTCAGGATCTTCCTGTGTCCATCCTGGCTTCACCGACTTCTGAGCAGCCCAGCTCCACTGAAGCTGGAACAACCGGAGACGGCTCTGGGACTGTAACCCTGGTCTGCTCCAACCCGCCTTGCGAGACCCACGAAACGGGGACAACTAACACAGCCACCACCTCCTCAGCTACAATCGGAGCAGGACAGGTCTGCTCCAACCCACCGTGTGAGACCCACGAGACCGGAACCACCAACACAGCCACCACCTCCTCTGCTACAATCGGAGCAGGACAGGTCTGCTCCAACCCACCGTGTGAGACCCACGAAACAGGGACAACTAACACAGCCACCACAGCGTCGTCCAACATGGGCGGAGCCCYGCAGGTGTGTTCAAACCCACCCTGTGAAACCCACGTCACGGGCACCACCAACACCGCCACGCAGTCTTCATCCAACATGAACACGGGCGAGACGGGCACCGTGCAGAGCGTCTGCTCCAACCCGCCCTGTGAAACCCACGTMACGGGCACCACCAACACCGCCACGCAGTCTTCATCCAACATGAACACGGGCGAGACGGGCACCGTGCAGAGCGTCTGCTCCAACCCGCCCTGTGAAACCCACGTMACGGGCACCACCAACACCGCCACGCAGTCTTCATCCAACATGAACACGGGCGAGACGGGCACCGTGCAGAGCGTCTGCTCCAACCCGCCCTGTGAAACCCACGTMACGGGCACCACCAACACCGCCACGCAGTCTTCATCCAACATGAACACGGGCGAGACGGGCACCGTGCAGAGCGTCTGCTCCAACCCGCCCTGTGAAACCCACGTMACGGGCACCACCAACACCGCCACGCAGTCTTCATCCAACATGAACACGGGCGAGACGGGCACCGTGCAGAGCGTCTGCTCCAACCCGCCCTGCGAAACCCACGAAACGGGGACCACCAACACTCCGTCCACGGCCACCTCCAGCATGGGAGGAGATCAGACCAGCACAGCAGCAGGCCTGGTCCAGAGGGTGTGCTCCAACCCACCGTGTGAAACACACGAGACTGGGACCACCAACACTGCCACCACTGCTACCTGCAGCATGGAGACTGGTGAAGGAACAGGTATGTGACAGGTTAGAGGTGGACAGACCACCTGTCAGGGTCCATTACTCTAGTGACAGTTTGTGACCCGATGGGGTGTTAGCTGTAATCATTAGTTCTTCATCACTGCATAAAATCAGCCGCTGAGCGTACTAACTCTTATTATTACTCACCTCAGTGTCAGCTCTGACCTGCAGTGTTGGCCCATTTCTGTAAATCAGTGCAATTAATCTGATAAACTTCTAACATCAGAATCGCCTTTATTGTCTTTATAATTTGCATTACAGTGAAATTAGGTTTGCTGCTGCAATGTGCTTGTTTTTTTAGACATGATAAAATAACTTTAGGAGAGTAGACAATACAAGAAAATAGACAAGTTAAAATCAARAAAAGACAAAAATGTGCACTATCCAAAAAGAGAAATCAAAGCGTTTCTGAATATAGAAATGAAGAATTGGGAAATTTTACAGTATATTCTTCTACATTGCTTTAATATTGCACATTAGAGATGTTCCAGAGAATGTTTCACTTAAGATACAGTATATGGCACATGGGTCGTAAAATTGAATGTTTGTTGCCGGTTTTTTTTTTTTTAATTGTCCAGTCCTCTCACAGTCAAATTCTCTGTTGGTTGAAGAAAAAGGCTCAACATTATCACTTTTTTAGCTGCCCAGCAGACAGAAGAAGAAGCAGAAGGAACCAGCAGTACAGAAGTAGCTTCTACCACTGCAGCAGCTGGCGTGGCTGCCACCACTCAAGGCCGAGCCATCACTACTGTCACTCAGTCCACACCGGCCCCGGGGCCCTCCGTTCCTGTAAGCAAACAAAACTCCTCTCAGGCTTAGCAGCTGGTTTACTACCATTCCAGCATGTTAGTTATTGTAATCTGTGCAGGTGGAGGTTTTAAAGCTGCGTCTTTTGCTTCACTTGATGGAGGGAAATTAAACTTCTTTTTTTAAATGTTGTGAACAATGAATATTTCTTTATTTCCATGCAGTCGATTTCCTCGATCACAGAGGGGGTGAGCACCGCCGCCAGCTCCACAGAAGAACCGATGCAGACTGATGAGGCTGCAGCTGCAGCAGCTGAAGCTGAAGCTGTACCTGCTGAGGAGCCAGCAGCAGCTATGGAGACACAAGCTGAGGTGAGTTAACACTCGACTCATGCACTGCATTCTATCTCTGTTAAAGTGCCTGTGACATTAAATTTAACTGATATATTTGGGAAAAAAAACAATGATGAATTGCAAACCAAAATTCACGACACTGAAATGAACAGTTGTTGAGATATTCGCATGAGCAGAAACAGGAAGTGATGTCAAAGGGGAATGCCTGAATGAGCTGTTAGAACGGCTAACAGACTGCAAAGAATCAGATGTTTCTGTAGATTTTGAGTCATTATCAGATTGATGAAGAGTCAGATTTATAAAGACCAAGAAGTTAACTTTTTTAAAGAGTTCCCCTTTGACATCACTTCCTGTTTCACTTGAACTGCACCAAATTTGGCAAACAAAATATGCACTTTTTGTGACAAACTGGGTAAAAATCATACGAATGATGCCAAGTTTCTAAAATATTAGGATATTTCCTTTAATTTTTTTTTAATTGAAGAAAAAGCATGTTACAGACACTTTAAAAAAAACTTTATTCCAATCCTTAAAGGGGACCTTTTATGCAAAATTCACTTTTTAAAGGTTTTTTTATTCAACTTTGGATATGTACTTCTTAATAAAACAGTCCTAGGACCAAAAAAATGTACCCAGGGGCATATTTACTGTAAGTAAATGTATTTTTAATGTATATTAACGACAAGTTTTATACTTCCGTCATTTTGTGATGTCAGAAGCCGTACGACAACCCACCGGAACCTGCGTTCAGCCCCTTACCTAGCAAACCCCGGGTGAAACTCCACCTCCTCAGTATAAAAAGCCATCATGGTGTTGTTGTGCAATGTGTAGCTCACTTCACAACAAGCCTCCAATAGGGCAATGGGTAGAGTGTTGGACCAAAGAGCGGCAGATCAGGGTTCGAGACCGGCACGGACACCATTTATTTATTTTTGTCCGTCATGAACACATTTTCTCATGTACCTCTATTGTTTAGCTTATTAAAGCCTTGTTAAAGCCTATTTGTTCGAGTTTCTGAGGTATTTTGACCGCTGCTGCTCCCTGCTCTGGTAACAGCATGCAGAGTGAGCGCAGAGCAGAGGAGGGAGAGAAAAAAAAAGAAGCTGCGACCGACTCTGCCTCTGGGTCTCATATGGTTGTACAACGGAGCTTCTGCTATTATTAGCCATGCTAACGTAAATGCTTGCTTTGGAGGGCGGAGTTAATGTCAACAGATTTTTGGAGGGCGTTACCAACAGAGCTCATTAACATAAACAGCTCTTCTGAACGGAAGTCAGAGCAGGCAGAACTAGAAAATGGGAAATTTTATTATCTGAGAATTATTTTGTGCATTAAATTGAATGAACATGGTCTGGATAGCCCACAGATATACCATAAAATTTCTAGGACCCATAATTGGTCTCCTTTAAATGGGACTTTTTTTTTTCTGTGCTCTTCCAGGGAGAGGCGGCAGCTGCAACAACCTTGAACCTGCCTTCAGAGCTGATGTCTGAGGGTCAGGGAGCCACTCTGATGGTGACCGGTCTGTCTGATGAAGAACTGGCTGTGACTGCTGCAGCTGAAGCTGCTGCTCAGGCAGCTGCCACTGAAGAAGCCCAGGCCCTCGCCATCCAGGCTGTTCTCCAAGCAGCTCAGCAGGCTGTAATGAGTGAGTACACACACGACGGCAGCCACCTTTAGCATGAACGGCAACACCTCTTGCCTGGGTGTCTGATTTTTTTTACTTTGTATTTTCAGATGAAGGCGAAGCTGCTGGAGACCAGACCACCAGCATCCCCATCATGCTGACCCAGCAGGATCTCGCAGCGTTGGTCCAGCAGCAGCAGCAGCTGCAGGAGGCCCAGGCTGCAGCCCAGCAGGCCTCTGTGGATACCAGCTTACCCACCGAGGGCCTCGCACCCGCCGACAGCCTCAACGACCCGTCTGTGGAAAGCAACGGTCACAATGAAATGGCTGCCTCAGTCACTAGTGCCGTGGTGTCCCTCCTACCACGCACCACCGCTGAGAGTAAGTCCATTTATTTACAGGGTTCATGCCGGGTCTTAAAGTCTAAAAAATTCTCAAATTTGAAAATCATAATTTTAGGCCTAAAAAAGTCTTAAAAACGCCCAGATCTTCATTCAAGGTCTTAAATTAAATTTAGTCAAGTCTTAATTCTTTTTATTTCGATCATTCCTGAGAAGCGTTGACTGCATAAATAAACAGAGTAAAGCTCAGTAATCAGAGGTTGATGCGATCTGTCTTCATGAAGTGATAAGTTTTCTACCCATCTTGGTACGTGGTTAAACTACAAATCCTGTGATAACTGCAGGCAAAAAATGGCACAGTTTACTTAAATGTTTTCAACCTCTTTGCTGCTTCAACCCCCTGCATACGGCAGCTTGTCCACCTGCAAAACAACAAAGAAGTTCAGTCATGTCCACTGCTTGTTGTTTAAACATGGAAAGTGTGTTTTCAATGAGACTTGGCTTGATATTGGTGATTTTTGCACTCGGTTGGAAGCAGTCCACAGCATGACCGTTACATTGAAATAATTTAGTATTCTTTTATTAAAATTAAATATTCTGTAATAGATAAATTAATAGCAATAAAAGGTTTCTATGTTAAAATTTCTGGGACCATTTGAATGTTTCTGTTAATGTGTCGGTTTGGTTTTAAATGTCATTCCAAAAGGTCTTAAATTTACCTTACTGAAACCTGCATTTTATACACCTGCGTGATTATCTTTGTTTGTTCTGAACCCAGCTCTGGCTCCTTCGAGTACATTTGCACCATCTGTACCAGTACCAAGTCCAGCCAAACTGCAAGCAGCAGCCACTCTTGCAGAGGTTGCCAATGGCATCGAGGGAGAGGTAAGTGTCAGATTTTTGACATCTAATTATTCCTGTGGGGCAAAGAGTGATGAGAATAAATATTTTACTAACTCTTCTCTGTTGCATCTCTTCAGAAGCAAGCCCCTCAGCCAGCTCCAGTGAAGCCTGCAGTTAAAAAGGAGAACCAGTGGTTTGATGTTGGGATTGTTAAAGTGACAAACATGGTCGTCACTCACTTCTATGTGCCAGCAGACGACTCCCAGGGAGACGTAAGTGTCCTAACGTTGGAGTTGTCTCTGTTTCTGCAGTGTTTGTCTGTTTCCTGTCTTCAGCTGTGTTTTTGTCCCTCGACAGGACGACTCTGGCATCATACCAGACTACAGTCAGATGAAGAAGATGGAGCTGCAGCCCGGCACGGCTTACAAGTTCCGCGTCGCAGGAATCAACGCTTGTGGTCGTGGGACTTTCTCCGAAATTTCTGCTTTCAAGACTTGTCTACCAGGTTTTCCAGGGGCGCCTTGTGCCATCAAAATCAGCAAGGTAAACCCTGCTGGAACCCCTGTCACCTGCAGTGTTGTATAAAGTACCACAAAGTGATACTTTAGTAAAAGTACAAGTGTCTTACCTAAAAATTACTTTGGTAAAAGTTAGTGTCCTTTAAGATTAATACTTGAGTAAAAGTCTTAAAGTATCTGATATTTTTGTACTTAAGTATTAAAAGTAAAAGTATTGATTTAAAATGAGCAGTTATATTTTCTGTAATGACATTTATTAGGAGGTGACCTCCCCAACACAATGCAGAAATGACTGTCATATTAAAATAATTAATTTATGTTCAATCTTGGTGGGCTAGTTTTGGCCCACTGGCCCCCACTTTGGGCACCTCTGATATACTGTGTGTGTGTG